AGGGTTAATTCCTCCCACTCCCTTAACCTTCTCATTGATCTGTCACCAGAGCTACAAGCTCTTCCTCTGTGACTGCTCATTTTCCCTTTCTCGTGGTCAGCATTCTGTTCCACTGTTCCTCTCTTCCCATCTAGACTGTTTCTGGTGCTTCTTCACTACGTCATCAGCCAATAAAAGTCCTTCTGACCTCTAAGGAATTCTATGAATTGTTTTTTGTTCTTTTGTTTTTTTACTTGGCAGTGGTGTGTGCAAACGCCAGAAAGAAAGAGGGAGGAAGAAGGAGAAAGTACCTCCCAATGGTGCCACAACCTCTTCTCCATTTCTCCATCTTGTCAGGACTTGGGGCACATGCGCACATGTGTCTGGCATGTTTTTCAAACCTACAGGGCAAGGATTCCAACTATAGTTGTCCATGTAGGAGCTGGCTCCTTCAACCATTAGGCTATAGGGGCTGGCTACCTATGAGTTATTTTAATAGTCTTATTATGTACAATATGCCATTCAGCTGTTCAGATCATGAATAATCCTCCATTACCCATGGCATGAAGTTTAAATTCCTTAAACTGGCTCAGGTCATAAGCAATATGATCCTAACTCTCTCTCAAAAATTAGTATTCCTTCAGTCTTCACCATATTACCCCACATAACTTCTTGGCTCCAAACAGTTCTACTTGTCTTCTTGCCTTTTCACTCACCCAAGACTCTAAGTGAATTTCCGTGCTTGATGTGTTCATCTGCTGGAAATTCACATCCAAATTACAGCTCAAGCTCTGCTTGGATGTCAGAGTCCCAGACCAACTAAGCCATACTGATCAGCCTCTCTCCCAAACTTCAGGTCACAGACAATGCTCTACAATCAATTTCCTAACAATAGGGTTATAGTAATATCTTGTAGTACTTTTGTGCATAAGGCTTTATTTATTCCATCTGAGTTGTAAACTCCTGTTTTTTGGGGTTTTTTTTTTTTTTGGAGAGGTCTTTGCTATAGGGTGCGTGCTCTCACCAGAAAGAGAGACAGAGAGACAGAAAGGGAGAAACTACCCCCCCAGGGGGCATAGCCACGCTGCAATCCTCTCTCTTCCATTATCCTCTCGGGATCTTGGGCACGCATGCACACTCACCCGGCGTGAGTTTAAGCCATCGGGTCTGGAACTTGAACCGCAGTTGACCACATGTGAGTCCAGCAACGTAGCCATTATGCCATCTGCTGGTCCCATGTAAACTCCTTTAAGAGAAGTGGCTGATATCTTTTAAGATGCCCCATGACTAGGAGAGTACTTCACAAACTCAACAATCACATAATGACACTGGTAACACCAATGAAATGCATCATTGATACACACCACAGAGCAGTGACTCTAAAACTTTCATTGTGCATGTGAATGACTTAGAATGCTAGCATAAAATGTATATATTCTTAGACCCAAGTTCAAATATTTTGTTGATCTCAGGTAAGGGAGGAGGGACATACACACAAACTAAGGACCTCTAGGGAATTCTAATCCAGTAGGCACACAGATGGTATTTTGAGAAATACTACCACTGATTAAATTGAAACAGTAAACTAAAAAAATAAAGTGTTAAAAAAAATATGCAGAGTTATAAGTAATGCAGAAAGAAAATCTGGAGTGTCGCAGACTAATTGCCATTATCAGAGTGTTGTTTTTGATATTCACCATAGACCATATGTGCATTTAGTATGTTTAATTAAAAATAGCATTAAATGCTTCATTAAAGCAATTAGTGTTAATATTGAGCAAATCTACTTGCTTTGATTTAAATTGCAAATGTAGGGATAAAGTTATTTATGTAAAACAAATAAGTTATCTTTAATATTTGATTTTCTAAATCATCAACTAATTTTTTTTTGAAGAGGTTTTTGCTAGAGGGTGCATGTGCTCGCCAGACAGAGAGAGAGTCAGAGAGATAGAAAGTGAGAAATCATCCCCCAGGGGGGATGGCCACGCCACAATCCCTTCTCCTCCATTCTTCTCTTGGGATCTTGGGTACACACACGCATGCGCCCGGCGTGAGTTTAAGCCACCAGGTCCGGGACTTGAACCTCGGTCAACTATGTGGGAGTCCAGCGAAATAGCCATTAAGCTAACTGCTGGTCCCCTATCATCAACTAATTTAAACAAGATGGCAAATCTTTAAATCTTCTTATATAAAGTTCTGTCTTTGACAAAGGCATTTGCAATGCAAAATACATCCTCTGTACATTTATTAATCTATAAATATAAGAGAGCATAGGTATTAATACTCCCACTGCAACTCACTTTATAGAATAAAAATTCCATAGCTATACTTCATGAGATAAAGTAATTCTTTCCTTTTCTTCTCATAAACCAACTTAAAATTAAACTCTTCAACTCTACCCAAACAAAGCAAACTCCACCTATTCTCATACTTCAAATTACTGAATTGGCAATCGTGTGCTTTGTTCTAAATTTTTCATTTTGTCTTTAGCTCAATGAAAATTTTAAATGTTTTTTGCCATCACATCCAGTTAATTTTCCATTTGCCTGTCTTTCTTTCATGGCATTGGCTTGTTTGTATTAACATCCCTTAGAGAAACATTTTAGGACTTTTCAGTAGGCCATCCTACCAGGAATAATTAGAAAGAGGAACTTAGTAAATGCAATTATAAGTCAAGGAACAAGATCTTGATTCCTTTGTGATTTAACCTCCAATTTCTTTGCATTGCTTTGGGGGCTGCTGAAGGATTGGATGCCTAACCTTGGTCTATGGCTTGTAAGCTGTATTGCATTTAAAATTTTTTATAAAACAAACACACACACACACACTACTTTATAGTAAATTACCAAAAATTTGCATCTATTGGTATTATATATGTTTAACATCTTCTATTTATCTTCTGAAATACCTTCTCGGGGGTTAAATAGTTCATAGAAAATTGACAATTGGTCCCTCTCCAATTCTTCCCTAGTGCCCAAATCTAATGAGGCACTTGTAAACACTAGAGAGAGACATGGGGTCTTTGGATCAGTCTCTGGGCAGTTACATGTCAAGAGTTACAATAAGAACACAGCAGTTTTGCTGAGGCATTAATGAAATCTACTCTGTCAGAGCTCCCTCCATTTACCCACTGTGGAACATTTCAGTGTAGCAATCACACCCTGCCTTGTGGTCCATGGAACTCAGAGACTTAAAATGATGCTTCATGAAGTCGTAAAAGAACCCTCATCACATACAGAACATCAATCCCTTCTTTAACATACAACAAAATAAAAGGTGGCTAAATATGAAAAGCAATATTTACCAACAAAAAAGTATAGCAATTTTCATGACAACTAGAAAATTTACTTAGGAAGACAATTCTGAAAATTAGAATTAAGTTAACTTTCTCATCCTCCAATTCCACACCTATATATAACACACATGTCCTCAGGCACATTCATCCAGGACCCACCCAGCAGCGGGTCTCACACAGGCTATTGGTTCATCAGAAAAGCTTCTCATTTTACTTCCTCCCTCAAGCTTTCTTACTGCTGTCCAAAGTAAGTCACCACAGGCTTTAGAGAGGAGTGTAGCCTGACCAAGTTACACTTTTACTAGTTTGACTTTGCAGAATGCACCAGTGAATAGGCAAGCATCACAAAATTCAAGGACTCCAATTACAAAAAAATATTATTGGGTTTAACACTGAGTTTGCCCAGCATTTAAGGATGTAACGGTAGCCTCATCACTATCGTTAAAGCAACGGAAGTATCTGAGCTGAAAATTGTTCAAGTCATAGAAAATATTTTTTCTGCAACTCAGTGTATATTGGTTTTATACTCGAAAGGATTTTTTTCTTGACCTATATGTTGAGTTACAATTTCCAATATTTAATTTTTCCCAAAATTTAAATACAAAGGGAAGTTGCTTTCTTTTTTTAAAGTTAGTTTTCTCAGTCTTAAGGTGTATTTCAAAATATAACTGGAGAGGCAATTTAATTTCTACACATGCAGGATATGTTAATGAGTAAAGTCAACTGAAAGTTCACAGTAACACAGGACTGGTACCACTCAGTGACCACCAGCTGAAATAAACCACTGCAGACCAAGGGGGACAGCAGTTCAGACACTGAGATCCCTCACTCTATGCTGAATGTAACTTCTGCAGGACTACCAATTCTAGGAAATGCACTTACTTTGCATCTTAATGTCAGACATGGACATTTTAGGTAAACATAGACTCTTAGAAAAGCCAGGGAAAAAGGAGACATCAACAGGATAACTCATCAGAATGCCTAAAAAGTACCTTAGCAATATTTTTTAGGCAAACGATTAAACAAAACAAGCAAAAGCAAACAAACAAAAACTCCCCTGTATCTCACTACAACAGTGTATAGAAAGTTAATAAAGTTGAAAAGAGAGCCGTGCTTGATTATAACCTAATGATTGAAGCCACTTCTTACAATCTCAAATTTCACCAACATCAAGTGAACTCTGAAGTCCTAAGCGCTCAAGCCCGGTTACTAAATTCCCTTACACTTTTTGTAAAATCGCACACAGCGCCTGGTGCTCCACGCACCATGAGCACTCCAGGAAAACAGATTCGGTTGACTGCTCATCCTTGCCCCAGAAGCTGTAATGAGTCCCACCAGGCAGCAAGGGAAAGAAAAGAGCATTTTCCGACCAGAATGAAAAGCTCTCCTGAGCACCGCCAGCTGGGCAGGGTTCAAGACCCCCATGCTGCATCAGCAGAGACTATAAAATAGAGTACGTGACCTCTAGCACTAGGCACCTCTGGGTCCTTCAACCCCGCACTCCGCTTTCCTGTTCAGCGACAACTTTCTATTTAAAAATAAAACTTTTCTCCAAGGAAGCATGCACTTTGCTCAATAACTTCAGGTACGCCGTACACAAGTTTAAACTAGCACATGCACTTTGCGCGGGTTCTGCTGCCTAAAACCCAAACACTCTGGTCTCCACCGCAGTCCCCTCGGTAGTCCACAGCCCAGGCCCCATGACAGGGTCGAACCGCGCACCTACCTTGGCCTCACCAGCGTCCGGCTCCGCGTCGGAAAAGTCGAGTCCGGACTCGAAGGCAGAGGCAGCGGCAGGCGCCTGGCGCGGACCCGGGAGCAGCGCAGCGGCGAGCAGGGAACACGCCAGAGAGAAGCAGCCCAGCAAGTGCATGGTGGAAGGACCGGGGTGGGGAGGCCGGTCCGCTGGCGGGTCCGCTGGCGGGGGCAGGGGTGGGGGGTGGGCGCCCCTGCGAGGCTGGGGTCCCCTCCTCGTCCCTTTCCCCCTCGATCTCCTCCCGGTGATCCCCCTGGGCGAGCCGGAGGCGGCGGGAGCGGGTCCAGGGTCCGCGACCAAGTTTGCAAGTCGCTCTCGCGGCCAGGGAAAGGCGATGGGTGTCAGGTAAAGCCTCACAGGAAACCGGACATCCGAGCTCCCCTCATTCGGAGCCGGCGAGGTGAAGCGAGGGCGAGGGAGGACGGCTCCTCCGTCGGCGTTTTTGTTTTTGCTTTTCGGAAAGTGGGAGGGAAAACCAGAACACCCCGCAACGTTCGAGCCCTCTAAACCCACCGGAGCCCTGGTCCCCCTCCTCCCTCCCCTTTCCCGAAGTGAATCGAGCCCGGTAGCGGGAGCTGCGGGACAGGCGACAGCCTGGGGCGGGAGG